CAGCAGGAGAGGACTCTTTAAAGTAGAGACACTACACACTGATATACACCTGATCATCAGCAGGAGAGGACTCTTTAAAGTAGAGACACTACATACTGATATACACCTGGACATCTGCAGGAGAGGACTCTTTAAAGTAGAGACACTACATACTGATATACACCTGAACATCAGCAGGAGAGGACTCTTTAAAGTAGAGACACTACATACTGATATACACCTGGACATCAGCAGTAGAGGACTCTTTAAAGTACTGATATACACCTGAACATCAACAGGAGAGGACTCTTTAAAGTACTGATATACACCTGAACATCAGCAGGAGAGGACTCTTTAAAGTACTGATATACACCTGAACATCAGCAGGAGAGGACTCTTTAAAGTAGAGACACTACATACTGATATACACCTGAACATCAGCAGGAGAGGACTCTTTAAAGTAGAGACACTACATACTGATATACACCTGGACATCAGCAGTAGAGGACTCTTTAAAATAGAGACAGTACATACTGATATACACCTGAACATCAGCAGGAGAGGACTCTTTAAAGTAGAGACACAACATGCTGATATACACCTGATCATCAGCAGGAGAGGACTCTTTAAAGTAGAGACACTACATACTGATATACACCTGAACATCAGCAGGAGAGGACTCTTTAAAGTAGAGACACTACATACTGATATACACCTGAACATCAGCAGGAGAGGACTCTTTAAAGTAGAGACACTACATACTGATATACACCTGAACATCAGGTGGAGAGGACTCTTTAAAGTAGAGACACTACATACTGATATACACCTGAACATCAGCAGGAGAGGACTCTTTAAAGTAGAGACACTACATACTGATATACACCTGAACATCAGCAGGAGAGGACTCTTTAAAGTAGAGACACTACATACTGATATACACCTGAACATCAGCAGGAGAGGACTCTTTAAAGTAGATACACTACATACTGATATACACCTGAGCATCAGCAGGAGAGGACTCTTTAAAGTAGAGACACTACATGCTGATATACACCTGAACATCAGCAGGAGAGGACTCTTTAAAGTAGAGACACTACATGCTGATATACACCTGAACATCAGCAGGAGAGGACTCTTTAAAGTAGAGACACTACATACTGATATACACCTGAACATCAGCAGGAGAGGACTCTTTAAAGTAGAGACACTACTGCTGATATACACCTGAACATCAGCAGGAGAGGACTCTTTAAAGTAGAGACACTACACACTGATATACACCTGATCATCAGCAGGAGAGGACTCTTTAAAGTAGAGACACTACATACTGATATACACCTGGACATCTGCAGGAGAGGACTCTTTAAAGTAGAGACACTACATACTGATATACACCTGAACATCAGCAGGAGAGGACTCTTTAAAGTAGAGACACTACATACTGATATACACCTGGACATCAGCAGTAGAGGACTCTTTAAAGTACTGATATACACCTGAACATCAACAGGAGAGGACTCTTTAAAGTACTGATATACACCTGAACATCAGCAGGAGAGGACTCTTTAAAGTACTGATATACACCTGAACATCAGCAGGAGAGGACTCTTTAAAGTAGAGACACTACATACTGATATACACCTGAACATCAGCAGGAGAGGACTCTTTAAAGTAGAGACACTACATACTGATATACACCTGGACATCAGCAGTAGAGGACTCTTTAAAATAGAGACAGTACATACTGATATACACCTGAACATCAGCAGGAGAGGACTCTTTAAAGTAGAGACACAACATGCTGATATACACCTGATCATCAGCAGGAGAGGACTCTTTAAAGTAGAGACACTACATACTGATATACACCTGAACATCAGCAGGAGAGGACTCTTTAAAGTAGAGACACAACATGCTGATATACACCTGATCATCAGCAGGAGAGGACTCTTTAAAGTAGAGACACTACATACTGATATACACCTGAACATCAGCAGGAGAGGACTCTTTAAAGTAGAGACACTACATACTGATATACACCTGAACATCAGCAGGAGAGGACTCTTTAAAGTAGAGACACTACATACTGATATACACCTGAACATCAGCAGGAGAGGACTCTTTAAAGTAGATACACTACATACTGATATACACCTGAGCATCAGCAGGAGAGGACTCTTTAAAGTAGAGACACTACATACTGATATACACCTGGACATCTGCAGGAGAGGACTCTTTAAAGTAGAGACACTACATACTGATATACACCTGAACATCAGCAGGAGAGGACTCTTTAAAGTAGAGACACTACATACTGATATACACCTGGACATCAGCAGTAGAGGACTCTTTAAAGTACTGATATACACCTGAACATCAGCAGGAGAGGACTCTTTAAAGTACTGATATACACCTGAACATCAGCAGGAGAGGACTCTTTAAAGTACTGATATACACCTGAACATCAGCAGGAGAGGACTCTTTAAAGTAGAGACACTACATACTGATATACACCTGAACATCAGCAGGAGAGGACTCTTTAAAGTAGAGACACTACATACTGATATACACCTGAACATCAGCAGGAGAGGACTCTTTAAAGTAGAGACACTACATACTGATATACACCTGAACATCAGCAGGAGAGGACTCTTTAAATTAGAGACACTACATACTGATATACACCTGAACATCAGCAGGAGAGGACTCTTTAAAGTAGAGACACTACATACTGATATACACCTGAACATCAGCAGGAGAGGACTCTTTAAAGTAGAGACACTACATACTGATATACACCTGAACATCAGGTGGAGAGGACTCTTTAAAGTAGAGACACTACATACTGATATACACCTGAACATCAGCAGGAGAGGACTCTTTAAAGTAGAGACACTACATACTGATATACACCTGAACATCAGCAGGAGAGGACTCTTTAAAGTAGAGACACTACATACTGATATACACCTGAACATCAGCAGGAGAGGACTCTTTAAAGTAGATACACTACATACTGATATACACCTGAGCATCAGCAGGAGAGGACTCTTTAAAGTAGAGACACTACATGCTGATATACACCTGAACATCAGCAGGAGAGGACTCTTTAAAGTAGAGACACTACATGCTGATATACACCTGAACATCAGCAGGAGAGGACTCTTTAAAGTAGAGACACTACATACTGATATACACCTGAACATCAGCAGGAGAGGACTCTTTAAAGTAGAGACACTACTGCTGATATACACCTGAACATCAGCAGGAGAGGACTCTTTAAAGTAGAGACACTACACACTGATATACACCTGATCATCAGCAGGAGAGGACTCTTTAAAGTAGAGACACTACATACTGATATACACCTGGACATCTGCAGGAGAGGACTCTTTAAAGTAGAGACACTACATACTGATATACACCTGAACATCAGCAGGAGAGGACTCTTTAAAGTAGAGACACTACATACTGATATACACCTGGACATCAGCAGTAGAGTACTCTTTAAAGTACTGATATACACCTGAACATCAACAGGAGAGGACTCTTTAAAGTACTGATATACACCTGAACATCAGCAGGAGAGGACTCTTTAAAGTACTGATATACACCTGAACATCAGCAGGAGAGGACTCTTTAAAGTAGAGACACTACATACTGATATACACCTGAACATCAGCAGGAGAGGACTCTTTAAAGTAGAGACACTACATACTGATATACACCTGGACATCAGCAGTAGAGGACTCTTTAAAATAGAGACAGTACATACTGATATACACCTGAACATCAGCAGGAGAGGACTCTTTAAAGTAGAGACACAACATGCTGATATACACCTGATCATCAGCAGGAGAGGACTCTTTAAAGTAGAGACACTACATACTGATATACACCTGAACATCAGCAGGAGAGGACTCTTTAAAGTAGAGACACAACATGCTGATATACACCTGATCATCAGCAGGAGAGGACTCTTTAAAGTAGAGACACTACATACTGATATACACCTGAACATCAGCAGGAGAGGACTCTTTAAAGTAGAGACACTACATACTGATATACACCTGAACATCAGCAGGAGAGGACTCTTTAAAGTAGAGACACTACATACTGATATACACTTGAACATCAGCAGGAGAGGACTCTTTAAAGTAGAGACACTACATACTGATATACACCTGGACATCTGCAGGAGAGGACTCTTTAAAGTAGAGACACTACATACTGATATACACCTGAACATCAGCAGGAGAGGACTCTTTAAAGTAGAGACACTACATACTGATATACACCTGGACATCAGCAGTAGAGGACTCTTTAAAGTACTGATATACACCTGAACATCAGCAGGAGAGGACTCTTTAAAGTACTGATATACACCTGAACATCAGCAGGAGAGGACTCTTTAAAGTACTGATATACACCTGAACATCAGCAGGAGAGGACTCTTTAAAGTAGAGACACTACATACTGATATACACCTGAACATCAGCAGGAGAGGACTCTTTAAAGTAGAGACACTACATACTGATATACACCTGGACATCAGCAGTAGAGGACTCTTTAAAATAGAGACAGTACATACTGATATACACCTGAACATCAGCAGGAGAGGACTCTTTAAAGTAGAGACACAACATGCTGATATACACCTGATCATCAGCAGGAGAGGACTCTTTAAAGTAGAGACACTACATACTGATATACACCTGAACATCAGCAGGAGAGGACTCTTTAAAGTAGAGACACTACATACTGATATACACCTGAACATCAGCAGGAGAGGACTCTTTAAAGTAGAGACACTACATGCTGATATACACCTGAACATCAGCAGGAGAGGACTCTTTAAAGTAGAGACACTACATACTGATATACACCTGGACATCAGCAGGAGAGGACTCTTTAAAGTAGAGACATGCTGATATACACCTGGAAATGAGCAGCATATGTCCTTTTTAAATGTACTTAGCAACCCTTACAGTATGTGTAAAAGTTAAAAAGTGACTCACCTGGTTTCTTGCACATGTACGAGTAGAATCCCTCAGATTTGAGCATGATGAGCAGCGAGCCCCAGCCAAGCAGCACGGCGGAGAACAAAAGGTTTTCAATAACCGCCGTCACCGCCATCCACCAGCGGCGAGAAAACGCCGTGGCCAGAGAGGGCGCCATGATGGAGATGGAGAGAGAGGGTCACTTTTTAAAGTTTGCCTTAAGGAGAAAGGGGGGGGGGGGGGGGAAAGGCTGCAGCCTGAAAGACAAGAAACAGGGAGAAGAGATGAGTTGAGGACCATGCTGCTGTTCGGTGGCTCTTTGAGAGGATGTCTGTGTATTTGAGGACACTTCATGGTCACTTTGAATTTGTATTATGTCTATTTCTAACTATAATGTGCCTCTTTGTGATGATTGCGTATCTCCTGTTGGTCGTTATATATTCGTTTTGCCGTCATTTTCTGTCTTTTAGGGATTATTTTCTGTCTCTTTGATTCACGATGTGGCTTTTTGTGCATTTTTGGTCCTTTTGTTTTCGTGTCTTTTTGTGTTAATTCCGTCTCTTTTTTAGGTATTTTTTGTCTGTTTGTTGTCATTTCTGTGTAACTGTGTAATTGTTTGCGTCTTTCTGTAATAAGTGTGTCTGTTTGCTGTCAACGTGTTTCTTTCTGTAGTCATTCAGTGTCACTTTATAGCCTTTTTGCCCTTTTTCATAGTTGTTTGTTGTCTCTTTGTGTGTCTTAACAGCTGTTTTTCGTCTCTTTCTTGTCATTTTCTGTATCTTTTGATCATTCAAAGTCTCAGTGGGGCCCCTGTGCGTTTAATCCATCCATGCTGCATGCACATAATTACAGAACAGACGTCAGCTTTCCTTGTTTTTAATCTTTCTGTCTATTTCTATCCTGTAAAACATTCTTGTAACTGTGTAAGAACATTAAAAAAACTACTAATCCAAAGACCTAATAATTGCATATTTACATATATTATCTAATAAATCTCTTTCTGCCTCCTTTCTTATGACTTCATGTGTTTTTCATGACTCTCTGTTCCTGTTTTACACACATTTCTTTGTTCTTGCAGATGAGGATGAAGAAAACACACCAACAGAAACAGCTGAGGAGCGTTAACCCCTCCTATTAATATTCATAAGTCCCGCCCACTCTCGAATCTGATTGGCTTGACACTTCGCCTGCTCTTCTCCTAATGGCTGCTAGTGACATAAGGTGCAGCAGCTACACGTGAGGCTGGTGTTGCCTTCAGGAACTGTGGGGAAACACTGTACAGAGGTCTTTACTGTTAGAAAATAAATACTTTAGTGAGGTTTTTCACATGTATATGCGAAGTAGAGGACATGAGTTTAAAGCTAGAATTAAGTTTCCTGATTATTGCGTTCAAGCTTTCTTAATTTTGAGGTCACATAAAATGATTTGTAATGGTTATATTTGATTTAAAAAAACACCTAAGCATGATGACACCTGCTTTATTTTCCTTTGTTTGCATAGACACATACACACAAATAAAGAACACTTAAAATGCCTGTTTGTTTAAGCTGCTATGGTAAAAACAAGGTTTATTTACAAACAACCCACTGCACTTGAACGCACCACGAGCTCAAGCCGGTTCGAACCAGTACGGCGCGAGATTCGGTTGTCATATAAAATCCATACATTAATATTTCTATTTTTTATTATCTACATACTTATTGATTTTAACTGGGAAGAAGCGCACCAGTACTTAAGATAATTTAAGAAAGAAATGCACTAAAAATACACACATTGGGATTAAATAGGAATAAAAATGCAATTTAGATTTTTTATAAAAGGTGGAAACTCTGATCCAGATTTCACAAAAAACCTTACGTGGCTTTAATGCATTATATAAATAACTGGCTTGTTGTCTTATATCAGTGTGTTATAAAGCCTTCAGGTAGTAATGACATACCTTGAACAAAAAGGGCCAGTCCTACTAAGTTGTATAACACTAATAAAAAATATTTTTTAATACATAAAAGCGTATTAACCCTTGTGAATACGTTACATCATCAAAAAGTTCAATCAAAATATATTCAATATGGAAATAATGTTCAATATAACTGTACAGATGTTCCAGATTTCACAAAGGGACCTGACTTTCATTCATACTATTAATAAACACTGTGTTATTGTATTATACGTGTGTAATATGGCTGTTTAACACACTGATAATACAATAAATCACTGTGTTCTTGTATTATCAGTGTGTTATACAGTGTACAGGTAATAGCATAAAAGGTGAGTGTGTTTCCAAGTTGTGTAACACTCAGTTTTGTGTCTGAACTCGATGACATTCAGCACTGAGAGGCAGATATGTGAAATAAGAAATAAGAGATAACACAGAGCAGACTTCATTCGGATGTTGATATTTAAAATGTACACTGGGAACAATAAGATGAAGTATTTTGCAGCAGGAACTGGTCTGAACTGGACTGGAATCATCCTCCTCCTCCTGCTGCTGCTGCACAGAGGCAGGTTTCACACCATAAAAAAGACCCACTTCCGGTTTAACATTTCAAAATAAAAGTCTGGTGAATAGGGGTTTGTGAGGGATAAAATGTATTAACATAAGGTTTTTTTAATAACAAATCTAGGCTTTTAGGCTTAATTCCCTGAGTAAAAAAGTATTTATCAGTAAAAAAAATCTTTAACCAAATACAAATGTATGGCACTATTTTTGAGATATGTTCATGCAGGTTTGAACAATTGTATTTTGTATTGTAAATACTTGATTTATTTTTGCATTCATTACAATTTAAAATGCCATTTTCTAATATAAAATGCCAATTTGCATTAAAACAAGAATAGTTAATATAGTTTTTTGAGTTTATTTGTTTTTTTTTCTTATTGTGGGGGAAACTTCTGAAGCAATAGGAGTCAGGACTCAGAGAGACGAGGAGAGCTGGAGCTTTGATGGCAAACACTGACGGTTTATTTGGAACTTCGGCCGGAGAATTCACAAGACATGTCACGGGCCACGAGTTGACCACACGTTTGAGACGCCACAATCAACTCTGAAGAGCCCTCCTGGAGCTCCAGGTTTGAACTAGTTCAGAGTGTAATAATCAACATTCTTCAATAGAGACTAAACAGCTGAGGACACTGAATCACATTTGTTGTCGCTTATGGCTCGGGGTCATCTACACCCCGAGAAGGATGTGTTCCAGGTGTCCCACAACAATGACTATCTCTGACCGACAGTAGCCCGGTCACAAACTGGTAACAACAACAATATGCTAGGGCAGCCCCTCCTTAAGGGAGATAGCGGCTGCTCAAGGTTGGAGCATCTGTGTCAGAGGGCGAAAGGTAAACATGTGTACAGAATTATTCCCTGACAAAATGAATGTGTATTAATGGTATTTAAAAAAAGGAATGATATTTAAGTTGGGACGTATTTGAGTGTAATATGTAGTGAAAACCCATTAACAACCCAGACACATCAAGGACAGAACTGAATGATTTTCTGCACTTTTCTGAATGAATGTGTATGCTTTTATTTTGAAGGGAGTAACTGCACTCAACCGGAAGTACCCCCAATTTCTCTCGGTACTTTCACTAAGAGGCGCTCAGCTGTTCAGCATCAACAACACGGGGTATCACACACAAAGACACAAAGTACCAGCAGCAGAGACAACAACAACATCAACAAACACAAACACACAAACATCTGCTCTGGTGTTTAATTCTGGTTTTCAAAAAAAAAAGTATAATTATTTTTAGGAATGTGATCAGAACTTCTTTCATGCACCGAAACAGCCCGGGCAAAGATAAGGGGACACGGAAGAGGATGACTGTGAGAAACATCTGGTGTTATCTGATCAAAAAGATGTGTGTTTGTGCAGGTAATGTGCAGGAGAGGAAGAGGAAAGCAGTGCAAGTTGAACCCAGTGGATGAAGGATGAAGGAAGAGGGAGATAACCAGAATGTTTCAGAATAAAGCCGGTCAGATATCTGTCATTTCAGACAGAGCTGCTGAATCAACGCCAATATTATGAGTCAGCCTCTCCTCCTGTGAGTGTGTGTGTGAGAGTGTGTGTGTGTGTGTGTGTGAGTGTGTGTGTGTGTGTGTGTGTGGAGCATCCTCGGTGCAGACATACCTGAATCCAGAGACAAATGAAGCTGCTCCTTTTCAGTTAAATCTATTTAAAATGTCTCTCGTCGACAGAAACAGACCCAGAGAGAATCAGATGTGTTCGGAGGTTTCAGGATGTGTGTTAGTCTCTCTTTGAATCACTGTGTCTCCCCCTCATTGCTGCCGCTTTATAGCAGCGCAGCACAAACAACCGAGCCCTCCCATTGGTCCGCGGCTGAGCTAGAGACCAGCGGCAGCCAATCAGAGCGCAGGGAAATATTACATGAGTGTTGTTTTTCAATACTTCGTTAATGTTGGGAACACAGGTGAACAGCTGATAGTGGTGGGATTAAAGAGGGGCTTTTCAATATTTTTATTTTATTGAAAGTTTTACTTGTGTTTATTTAAATATCCATTTTATTGAATGTAATCTTTTTGCTCAAACTTTTGTGTTTATATAAATATTTTTATCTTTATTGGACATTGTAGTTACACTGCTTATATATTTTACAAGTAACTTATATATTATTTTCTTATGTAATATTAAACACATTCTTTATATTTAATTTAGTTATATATTTTCATTCAAAACATATCATATATATTATTCTGAAATGGACCAATCTGCACAATGACTACTTTTACCGTCGCTACATTCACTATATTTTGATGATAATACTTTTCTACTTTCACTTGAGGAACATTTTGAATACAGGACTTTTACACTAACAGAGTATTCCTACACTCTGGTACTTCTACTTTTACTCAAGCACAAGATCTGAGTACTTCTACTTTTACTCAAGTACACGATCTGAGTACTTCTACTTTTACTCAAGAACAAAATCTGAGTACTTCTACTTTTACTCAAGAACAAGATCTGAGTACTTCTACTTTTACTCAAGAACAAGATCTGAGTACTTCTACTTTTACTCAAGAACAAGATCTGAGTACTTCTACTTTTACTCAAGAACAAGATCTGAGTACTTCTACTTTTACTCAAGAACAAGATCTGAGTACTTCTACTTTTCTACTCTGTTTTTGGGGAAAACAAAAAGAGGGCCAAGTTTTCTTAGAAAGTTCTTAGAAGTTCTCCCTTTTCTGTGAATTGCTATCAAACAAGTCCTCCCTCCTTGTTTTCTATGTGCTTTACTCCTACATATTTTTGCCTGCAGGCTTTAAATCCGTCCCGTCTCTCACCGACACACTGTTCTCCTGCTGCTTCATGACAGAAACTTGCAATTCCTGGAAAGAAAAGGGGAGGTTTTCAGAGGAAGGGAAGCAAGCAAAACAAACTGAGAGAGAGATGTATTTCACTCTGAGGGCGCCCCCTGCTGGCTGCTTTAAAAATACTGCAGGTGTACATTTCCCAACCAAACCTTCAAATTGTAGACAGACTTTGAGTGGCATCTCAAAAGAGGATTTATTTAACAAAAACACTTTCAAACACCTCCAACAAAAGCACAAACACAACATATAACTGGAGGAATGGTTATTTTTAAGGTTCCCAGTGAATGTACAACTCAAAATGCAGTCTTCTTAAAGCAGCAATTATCCAATGAGAAGTTGATGTCACTAAAAAAACAAGATATAATCCAAGAGAAACAAGGCCTTAGAAAAATGTCAGATCTACAAAACATTTCAGAATCATGAAAAATGTCAGAACTACAAAGAAAAAGTCAAAAATCTGAAGACATTGTGTACCAAGTGTTCTTAAAAAGTTCTTAGAAGTACTCCCTTTTCTGTGAATTGCTATCAAACAAGTCCTCCCTCCTTGTTTTCTATGTGCTTTACTCCTAAATATTTTTGCCTGCAGGCTTTAAATCCGTCCCGTCTCTCACCACCACACTGTTCTCCTGCTGCTTCATGACAGAAACTTGCAATTCCTGGAAAGAAAAGGGGAGGTTTTCAGAGGAAGGGAAGCAAACAAAACAAACTGAGAGAGAGATGTATTTCACTCTGAGGGCGCCCCCTGCTGGCTGCTTTAAACACTGTAGGCGTATACATTGCATGCATATTACATTTACCAACCAAACCTTCAAATTGTAGAACAGACTTTGAGTGGCATCTCAAAAGAGGATTTATTTAACAAAAACACTTTCAAAAACCTCCAACAAAAGCACAAACACAACATGTAACTGGAGGAACGTTCTTGTTAAAGGTAGGGTAGGTAAGAATGGAGAAACCAGCTCGAGTGCGCTAGAATTTGAAAGTACACAAACTTCCTTACAGAGCCCCTCCTCCAACACACACCAACGCGCACATGACCAAAATCTGAATTCTATCAAAATTAGGTGGAATTATGAAAAATGTCTGAACTACGAAAAATGTCAGAAATATGAAAAAAAATTAAACATCCGAGAAAAAGTCAGAATTTTGAGAAAAAAGTGGGAATTATGAAAAAAATCTGAATTATGAAAATCTGAGAAAAAATAAAGAATTATGAAAAAAGTCAGAATTATGAAAAAAAGTCAGAATTATGAAAACTAATCTAATCGTCCGTAATAAGAAACATCACAATTGATCAAATCTTATTATTTTTCAGACAAAACATAGTTGTTGTCGTTTACCTATAATATGAAGGCCCAATCCCAAACCACGCCCTACACCCTACCCCTACACACTACCCCTCCGTTTGCGCGTTCACGCGGAGGGTCCGCCACATTAAGTGCTGTTCCAAACCAACGAGTGTGGAGTGGTGTGGAGGGGGAGTGGGCTATCAAGCCATCAAACAGCGAGTCTACATCGGTGCTGACTTGAGACTGGTCTCTACCTGACCGGAGTCACGCTGTGTGTGTCCGTCAGGAAACACGCTGTTTATAAACAGTTCCAGCAAACATCCACTGATAAACTGCGATGTTAACAACCTAATGATAACCTCATATTTTTTTAACTTAGGATTGTACCTGTGGTTAGTCTAGATAGAAAAAGGTAAATGTGTGCATTTTATTATAAAGTTGTGTATATTTACAGATTGTTGCAAAAACTAAGATGCTTATAAAAATGTGATTTAAAACAAAAAGAGCTTTACAAAAAAGCAACACAATTAAAGATGTTTGGAGTTTTATTTTAGTTATTAATGTTTTGTCTAAGATGCGGATTTGAAACCGTTGTTACAGTTACGGCATTTCTTGTTTCTGCCGGAGAGAGGGGAGTTTGTCCCAAAGCTTGCCGCTGTATCTACTCCCTCCATCTGACAGGAGGGAGCCTCGTTGAGCTGCGAGTGGCACTCCACGGAGTTCACTCTGTCACGGAGAGGGTAGTGTGTAGGGGTAGGGTGTAGGGCGTGGTTTGGGATTTGGCCGTAGTGTAGTAGACGTTTAAGGTGTCATCAAAAAATACAAACAATTCACAACAAATTGTAATTTTCAAATTTATTTTCAAATCTTTAGTATCTTATCTTTTAGTGTGTTTGTATAATCATACATTGGTTTGGTGCATACAGTAAGTCAGGAGTGCATCAGTGATTCAAAACACAGGAGCATGTTTAGTTTCTTTATCTCATAACTCCACATAAATCTGCAGTTTCTTTATCAAACAAGGCACAGGAACATGTTTGCATCGTAGCTTTTCCTCTCATTTATAACACAAACTGTACATATAGATCTCCCTCCTGAAAAACAACAATATAATAATATCATCATATAAATCATACAACACAGAATCACTAGAAATCAAAATCTTTGGCTAGTTCTTTTGAGTGCAGAGCCGTGCACAGAGGAAGTCACGTCGTCGAGAACAAAAACAAAAAATAACTTGGCAAAATGTTCGAGCTCCTCTTCAAAGTTTTTAATTTTAAACTTTAAGAGGATCAGTCTCTGGTCAACGCTAGACGGAGAAATATTCTGCAGGAAACCTTCATCTGAACTGCTGGGATATTTTTATTTTTAGTGTAGAACTATTTCAGAAAAACATTTTACTATGTTTGGTGCGGAAGTATTTTAATCATTTCTTTAACTTTTTTTAGTGTAGAAATATTTTACTAAAATATTTAACTTTTTATAGTGTAGAAATATTTTACAATTTTTTTAACTTTTTATAGTGTACACATATTTTACTAAAATATTTAACTTTTTATAGTGTAGAAATATTTTACAAAAATATTTAACTTTTTATAGTGTAGAAATATTTTACTAAAATAAATGTTTTTCTTGTCTTTTTTTAGTCTATATACTAACACAGATTTCCTAAAAAAAAAAAAAAAAAACATTACAGATCATCAAAAATCACATTGCGTACATGTTTTTGGCATTTCAATATTGACTCATTTGGTCAAAAAATATCATGATAATTGATTGTCTGCACAAATCACAAATCAGAATATATCTCATCTATCCCCGACATAATGTGGCTTTAAATTGAGTTTTAGTCGCACTTTTTGGTATAAATGCTTTTCAAATACAGAGAAAGATATTGAATATTAATTTTAAGTAAAAACATCAGAGCAGTTCAGTCTCAGGTGAGGGGGGGGGAGGCAAATCAGGGAGGAAATGGGGGAAAAATTCAGGGTATTTATCTAAACTGAACTCGACTCATTCTCACGTTGAGTGTCATGGTTTTCATCCGTTAATATCGAATAAATTAGTCAAAGAAAAGATGGAAAGGCACGTCTTTCAGCTTCCTGTTCACCTTCCTCTCGCCGTCTCTCACATGCTTTTACTCTTCAGTTTCTTGTAGTGAATCCCACAGAATCTCTTATTCAAAACACAAGGATCCCTTCAATCCCCGACCCTCTACTCTGCCCACCTTCAAAAACAACCCCCAGTTAGAAAAGTTGAAAGTAAATAAAGTTTCATTTGAGGCAAGAAACGAACCCTGGTTTTCATCGACGACTTCTCCTCTTATTCTCCAAATACCCTTCCCTCATTGTTTTCTTGGTCAAGTTCCCAAAAATAAAGCACATTAAACATGCGGTGCGAGAAAACGCACCGCAATATTTGTTATTCCCTTGGCTCGTATATAAAATCAGAAAATATTCAAACAGCAACAGTATTAACGCCCCAAAAATATAATATATAAACTAATATATCAAATTAGTTGCTGGATTTGTATTTTTTTTTTGTCTTTTCTGTATTGGGAAGCACCATTCCCACCTGTAGTGACAGCTGGCGTCTGATTGGAGGAGGGGTGTGTGTGTGTGTGTGTGTGTGTGTTGTTGGGTTTTGGTGTGTGTGTGTGTGTGTGTCATCATCTGGAGTTCAGTCTGGGAGCCGTCTGGATGGAGAAAAAAAAATTGTCAAATTAATTTTTTTACACTTTATTATGGCTTTTGATTATTAGTAATAACACAGAATTAATTACCAATTTTGTATTGTTTGCATTTTATCTAGTGAAGCAAAACCATTTCTTTTGTAAATTAAATCTAATTTAAGAATGTAATATTTTATTAGATGTTGCCACTCATTCAGCTTCGTGCTATTGGTGCTGATATTTTATATTTTCTGCCAAACATTAAACAGTTTTTGGTTTATTTCAAAAGATGATTTCAGATTTTTTGATTTGGGAAATGGGACTGTACTATATAAAGCGCTTTATCAGGTCTTTACAACAACTCATAAAGCCTCTGAGTCTTGAATACTCAGAGCCCAGAACATTTTTTTTTCAGATCCAACTCTGGTGTTATCAATTCAGACTAAAAAGGAAATCTGAAGTGTTAACATTTGAGCTTTAGGTAACGTAAACATGGTCTAACGGATATTCATTTAGACTCACCACAGACAGGTGTCCATTCTTGGCTTTGGCCACCAGGAGTTTCTGATCCAGGCGTGAAGTCGATGATCCCCTCCTTCCCCTGAGCCACACTGTACTTATACTAGAGAGAAGAAGAAGAGGTACGTGGGTGAAGATGCTTCAGTGTGAAGAGTGGAGATTCATTTCTAACAAGAGTTATCCTGCAGTGAGCGTTACGGAAACAAATGCAGGTTTACATCAGTTAAAAGGGCCCTTATTCTACTCATTTTCCAGGTGTATATCAGTATGTAGTGTCTCTCTACTTTAAAGAGTCTCTCTGCTGATGTTCAAGGTGTATATCGTATGTAGTGTCTCTACTTTAAAGAGTCCTCTCTGCTGATGTTCAGGTGTATATCAGTATGTAGTGTCTCTACTTTAAGAGTCCTCTCCTGCTGATGTTCAGGTGTATATCAGTATGTAGTGTCTCTACTTTAAAGAGTCCTCTCCTGCTGATGTTCAGGTGTATATCAGTATGTAGTGTCTCTACTTTAAAGAGTCCTCTCCTGCTGAGTTCAGGTGTTTTCAGTATGTAGTGTCCTCTACTTTAAAGAGTCCTCTCCTGCTGATGTTCAGGTGTATATCAGTATAGTGTCTCTACTTTAAAGAGTCCTCCCTCTCTCGGCTGATGTTCAGGTGTATATCAGTATGTAGTGTGTCTACTTAAAGAGTCCTCTCCTGCTGATGTTCAGGTGTTTATCAGTATGGGTAGTGTCTCTACTTTAAAGAGTCCTCTCCTGCTGATGTTCAGGTGTATATCAGTATGTAGTGTCTCTACTTTAAAGAGTCCTCTCCTGCTGATGTTGCAGGTGTATATCAGTATTTAGTGGTCTCTACTTTAAAGAGTCCTCTCCTGCTGGATGTTCAGGTGTTTTATCAGTATGTAGTGTCTCTACTTTAAAGAGTCCTCTCCTGCTGATGTTCAGGTGTATCATCAGTAGGTAGTGGCTCTACTTTAAAGAGTCCTCTCCTGCTGATGTTCAGGTGTATATCAGTAATGTAGTGTCTCTACTTTAAAGAGTCCTCTCCTGCTGATGTTCAGGTGTATATCAGTATGTAGTGTCTCTACTTAAAGAGTCCTCTCTCCTGCTGATGTTCAGGGTGTATATCAGTATGTAGTGTCTCTACTTTAAAGAGTCCTCTCCTGCTGATGTTCAGGTGTATATCAGTTTGTAGTGTCCTCTACTTTAAAGAGTCCTCTCTCTGCTGATGTTCAGGTGTATATCAGTATTTAGTGTCTCTACTTTAAAGAGTCCTCTCCTGCTGATGTTCAGGTGTATATCAGTATGTAGTGTCTCTACTTTAAAGAGTCCTCTCCTGCTGATGTTCAGGTGTATATCAGTATGTAGTGTCTCTACTTTAAAGAGTCCTCTCCTGCTGATGTTCAGGTGTATATCAGTATGTAGTGTCTCTACTTTAAAAAGTCCTCTCCTGCTGATGTTCAGGTGTATATCAGTATGTAGTGTCTCTTAAATCTCCCACTTTAAAGCGTGTAATGCTCTGCTTCTCTCACCTGCCCTGGATGATGTTGATGCTGTTTATTTTGTCCGAACAGATCGCGATTTTGGTCAAAGTCTCGATCACATGATCGCTCTGCAGAACCACGTCTCCCTGGGAACACACACACACAACTTTAACCAACAATCAACAAGAGTTGCCTGTATCGTTTTTATTGCAACACAGATGGATTAACATTCACTCATGTACACACAATCAATACCTATAGGCTGCTATACAGGGAGTTGGTAGACACACACAACACACACACACACACACCACACACACACAACACACACACACACAACACACACACTACACACACACACAACACAAACCACACACACACACACACACACACTACACACACACACCACACACACACACACACCACACACACACACACACACACACACACAACAAACCACACACACACACATACCAACACAAACACACACACACACACACACACACCACAACACACACACACACACACACACACACACACACACACACACACACTAAACCTTCATAAATGTTTTATATAATATTCTCTCTGTTCACCTTCTGCTTGTTGTCCTCACTGGGCACGTGCAGACGAACACGCCGTCACTGAGGGAGCTGACGGTAGATACCTGTGGGTGAAAAATCATTTATTAAGGTTATATTAGTTGAGAAATTGGAAAGATTAAGTAAAAGGTTCCCATACTGTCGAAAAAAAGTGAAAATGAATACAGTAGAAAAAAACGACAGTTCGAAAAAAGTGAAAAAAAACGACAGTCGAAAAAAAGTAAAAAAATAGTGAAAAAAACGACAGTAAAAAAAAACGACAAGTTCCCCGAACTGTCGAAAAAAGTAAAAAAAAACGACAGTCGAAAAAAGTGAAAAAACGATAAATCTGGAACTTTTGAAAAAATGTGAAAATTAAAACAGTCGAAAAAAAGCGAAAAAAAACGACAAGTCCCGAACTGTCGAAAAAAGTGAAAATGAAGAGAGGAGAAAAAAGTGAGAAAAACGACAGTAAAAAAGTGATATATTAAAGTATATATTTAAATGTTATTTGAACATGTTTTCAACCATGAAAAACGTTTCAGTTCATATTTTCATTAAATCATATTGTTTTAAATTAGTTTCTGTGTCTTAGTTTTAGCATAATAACCAATACCATCCACATTAAACCCCAATCCCTCCCTGCTTGTTGACCTCTGACCTTTCAGCGCTTCGTACTCGATGCGTTGTTTGAGTTTTCCTTCCTCCACGATGACGGCGCAGTTTGAAGTGAGCAGCAGCTGCCGGGGTCGAGGTTTATATCCTCTACGGTCGTACTTTGTGACGGGAACCGCATACTGAGGACGGAGAGATTAAAAGGTCCCCTATTATCCTGGTCTTCATCAATATATCACAGGTCTCAGATATATCCAGAGCCTGTCTCTGATTGGCTGAAACACCAAACAGATCATTGCAGCATTACCCATAATCCCCTCTGTTTCAGCCCTGTTTCCAAAGTGCTGATTCTCTGTCTGTTACTTTAGATGAAAATAAGGAGCCCCTCCCCACGCCCCTCTGAGAGACATTTGGTTACAAAGAACTCAATGGGGCTCTAGGAGGAGATTCAGGTGATAAGGGGGGGGGGGTTACCTTGGTTGCTGATTGGCTAATGGTTACACAAGACAACACATGGTTATGACATCATCAAGTGGCCAAAATCTGATCAGCTCATTTTCAGACAGGTTTTTATAGAAATGGATCAGGAGAAAAAGAGAGAGATCTTTGTTCCTGAAACTTTCAGAGTCTCTTTCCACAGAGGGGACACATGTTGATAGAAGAGACATGAAGAAGAGGGGACACATGTTGATGAAGAGAGACAAGAAGAAGAGGGGACACATGTTGATGAAGAAGAGACATGAAGAAGAGGGGACACATGTTGATGTAGAAGAGACATGAAGAAGAGGGGACACATGTTGATGAAGAAGAGACATGAAGAAGAGGGGACACATGTTGATGTAGAAGAGACATGAAGAAGAGGGGACACATGTTGATGAAGAAGAGACATGAAGAAGAGGGGACACATGTTGATGTAGAAGAGACATGAAGAAGAGGGGACACATGTTGATGTAGAAGAGACATGAAGAAGAGGGGACACATGTTGATGAAGAGAGACATGAAGAAGAGGGGACACATGTTGATGAAGAAGAGACATGAAGAAGAGGGGACACATGTTGATGAAGAGAGACAGAAGAAGAGGGGACACATGTTGATGAAGAAGAGACATGAAGAAGAGGGGACACATGTTGATGAAGAAGAGACATGAAGAAGAGGGGACACATGTTGATGTAGAAGAGACATGAAGAAGAGGGGACACATGTTGATGTAGAAGAGACATGAAGAAGAGGGGACACATGTTGATGAAGAGAAGAGAAGAAGAGGGGACACATGTTGATGAAGAAGAGACATGAAGAAGAGGGGACACATGTTGATGAGAGAGACAGAAGAAGAGGGGACACATGTTGATGAAGAAGAGACATGAAGAAGAGGGGACACATGTTGATGAGAAGAGACATGAAGAAGAGGGGACACATGTTGATGTAGAAGAGACATGAAGAAGAGGGGACACATGTTGATGAAGAAGAGACATGAAGAAGAGGGGACACATGTTGATGAAGAAGAGACATGAAGAAGAGGGGACACATGTTGATGTAGAAGAGACATGAAGAAGAGGGGACACATGTTGATGTAAGAGACATGAAAAAGAGGGGACACATGTTGATGAGAAGAGGGGACACATGTTGATGTAGAAGAGACATGAAGAAGAGGGGACACATGTTGATGTGAAGAAGAGACATGAAGAAGAGGGGACACATGTTGATGTAGAAGAGACATGAAGAAGAGGGGACACATGTTGATGTAGAAGAGACATGAAGAAGAGGGGACACATGTTGATGTAGAAGAGACATGAAGAAGAGGGGACACATGTTGATGAAGAAGAGGGGACACATGTTGATGTAGAAGAGACATGAAGAAGAGGGGACACATGTTGATGAAGAAGAGACATGAAGAAGAGGGGACACATGTTGATGTAGAAGAGACATGAAGAAGAGGGGACACATGTTGATGAAGAAGAGACTGAAGAAGAGGGGACACATGTTGATGTAGAAGAGACATGAAGAAGAGGGGACACATGTTGATGAAGAAGAGACATGAAGAAGAGGGGACACATGTTGATGTAGAAGAGACATGAAGAAGAGGGGACACATGTTGATGTAGAAGAGACGTGAAGAAGAGGGGACACATGTTGATGAAGAAGAGACATGAAGAAGAGGGGACACATGTTGATGTAGAAGAGACATGAAGAAGAGGGGACACATGTTGATGTAGAAGAGACATGAAGAAGAGGGGACACATGTTGATGTAGAAGAGACATGAAGAAGAGGGGACACATGTTGATGTAGAAGAGACATGAAGAAGAGGGGACACATGTTGATGTAGAAGAGACTGAAGAAGAGAGGGGACACATGTTGATGTGAGAGAGAGACATGAAGAAGAGGGGACACATGTTGATGTAGAAGAGACATGAAGAAGAGGGGACACATGTTGATGTAGAAGAGACATGAAGAAGAGGGGACACATGTTGATGAAAGAAGAGGGGACACATGTTGATGTAGAAGAGACGTGAAGAAGTGGATTTTGCATGATAGGTGACCTTTGAATAAGAAAGTCTTGATGAATAAAAGTGTATAATTGTGTCTCTTATTAATAATTTCTTTATTTTCTTCGACTCACCTTCATCTTCTCGCTGCCCAGAGCCTGCAGCACTTTGGGGTTAAGGTCCTCTCCGTCTGCACAGAGAAGAAACACACAAATGATGAAGACCTTCACACACACACTCTGAAACAGGAACAGGAAGTGTGTGTGTGTTTTAAGAAAGCCTCTCACTGAGTCTGGTGCTGACGAAGAGTTTGGGAACGCTCTGAGGATAGTTGTCCTTCTTGTCTTTAAAGAGTTCACTGGCGATCATCTTCTGCTCCATCTGTTCAGAGAGAGAGAGACGATGAGGGAAAGGTGGAGAAGGAAAGGCAAGTTTATTTATCCAGCACTTTTCAACGCAAGGCAATTCAAGGTGCTTTACAACAATGAAGGTCTTCAGGCTGGATTTAGAAGTACCCTCAGCAGATTCTCACTTTCCTCTACTCCTAGTCTTCCCGTGAAATTATAGTTCCTTTGACACTTTTCTAACCTTCTAATATTCCTTTCATCCATGTTGCATCCCCAAGACAACACATGTGGAAAGAAAACAGAGAGCATGCTGGGAGGACACTCACCTGGTGCTTCCACTCTGGGCTGATCTTCTTGCAGTAGCTCCACACCATGTTCTGCATACACAGCTTACGCAGCTGCTCTGAGGCCTGAACACACACACACACTTTTTAGAAGGGTTTTAAACAATTACAGTGTGTGTGAGTGAGTGTAGGAGTGTGTGTTTGTGTTTGTCTGTGTGTGTGTGTCTGTGTGTCTGTGTGTCTGTGTGAGTGAGTGAGTGAGTGAGTGAGTGAGTGAGTGAGTGAGTGTGTGTTGTGTGTGTGTGTTTGTCTGTGTGTGTGTGTGTTTGTGTGAGTGAGTGAGTGAGTGAGTGAGTGAGTGAGTGAGTGAGTGATGAGTGAGTGAGTGTGTGTGTGTGTGAGTGTGTGTTGCTGGGCATGTGTGAGTGAGTGTAGGAGTGTGTGTTTGTGTTTGTCTGTGTGAGTGAGTGAGTGAGTGAGTGAGTGAGTGAGTGAGTGAGTGAGTGAGTGTGTGAGTGTGTGTTGCTGGGCATGTGTGAGTGAGTGTAGGAGTGTGTGTGTGTGTGTGTGTGTGTGTGTGTGTGAGTGAGTGAGTGAGTGAGTGAGTGGTGTGAGTGTGTGTGTAGTTGAGTGAGTGAGTGAGTGTTGGCGTGTGAGTGTGTGTGTGTGTGTGTGTGTGTGTGTGTGTGGTGTGTGTGTGTGTGTGTGTGTGTTGTGGTGTGTGTGTTGTGTGGTGTGTGTGTGTGTGTGTGGTCCTCACATCAGAGAGAGCAACAGGAGGAGTCGGCCAGCTCTTATCCAGGACGTTTTTGGGCAGGTTTCTGCGCAGATTCATGAGGAACGAGTAACGAACGTAATCCAGGAAATACTCGTTTTCTGGACATCGCTCCCTGTGGCGGTAGATGAAGCCTTTGATGAACCTGAGGGTGGAAGAGCAAGACATAGGAAATTAAGACTAAGACTCCAGAAAAAGAAATGTCTGTTTTCTAGACAGGTTTGATATAAAAGTTTAAGAACAGGTGGAAAAATAGGACATTATTAGAAACACCTATTTTGATCCACATTTTTTTGCAAGAAATAGGAAATTAAAACAAGGCCAGTGGGAAAAAGAAATGTCTGTTTTCTAGACAAATTTGATATAAAAGTTTAAGGACAGGTGAGAAAATAGTTTTGCAAGGAAATGCTAGAAAAACGTATTTTGATCCACATTTCGAATGTTTTGATTTCGGTCAATTTGATAGCCCTTAAAATATAAATGAGTGCATCAGTTACATACAATTAATTGAAATAAATTAGGCTTGAATCTATTTTTGTAATCTACCCTCAACTCTGAATGTATTTGCCTAAACTTGTTCATATAAAATAAAAGGACTTGGTCCTCAATTGGCCTCTCAGGGCTTCCGTACACACATTTGCTTTCTGATTCAGTTTAACTCAGTGTTCTGGTTACCTGCGGATGGTATCAGCCGCCTGTCTGCGGCGCTGCGCTCTCCTCCGGGCCAGGATCCCTCTCCACCACGCCTGCACCTTAACAGCTGTGCACACGTCACAAACATCAACACAAACACTAACAATACAACTTACAGGAGGTGAACACACTCTAAAGCAGGGGGGTCAAACTCAAGGCCCGGGGGCCAAATCCGGCCCGCAACTTCACTTCATGCGGCCCCACAAGAGCTTGCAAAGAATAGAATATGTTTATTATACGGTTACATGCCGCTTTACAGAAGCACGTTGCCCATAAACTACATGTCCCACAATGCATCTCAAACTTTCTTTTCTCAAAATGTTACTTTTTTTTTTTTTTTTAAATCACTTTTTTTTTTTTTTCAGAATTTGGCTTTTCTTATTAAATCATTTTGGGACATACACACGCACTGAAGAGACTTGCAATTATTTTCCCTAGACTTCTGCTTTCAGACGTAGTTAATTATGAAGTTATTACCCTATCTGATATTAATCCAATTCAGAGGCAATCATGTAATACATTATTCTATATATATTAAATATTTATATATGTATTTTTATATAGTCTTAAAGTTACAACCGGCCCTTTGAGTGCAACCATGATGCTGATGTGGCCCGCGATGAAATTGAGTTTGACAGACCAGAGGCCTGTACTACGAAGCTGGTTCAACCTAAGTTAGCCGGTTGGCCCAATCCAAAACATACGCGCTCTCGCTAAACTGTACTACGATGCTGGTTATCAAGTGGATCGCTCAAGCCAGCCGTGTCCTATCTAGTTAGGTGCGCGTTCACATGAAAGGGGCGGGGTTAGCAACATTTGACCAATCACAAACACGGACAACCGTACTGACAGCGCAGCGTCATACTTCCTGAATGAAAAGTGAACTTTAATATTAGTCAAATATGAAGAAGTTAAACTTTAAACATCCATGACTTAAACACTTTATCCAGGATAAAAGCCACATAGCTGCACCTGCAAGGTGAATACAGCTGGTAACAGAAAAAGTGTTTGAATGCGTACATTAACAGGTTTATGAAATCACTGCCCCGTCCAAGACACGATCTGACTTTAATTACATTTGACTCGAGTGTTTCGTCAACTTAATGTGTTGCTTAAAATAATACTTCTGCATACAGTATGTGACACTGTGAGTGTTGCACGGCCAGATACGGCTCAGCTGACTCAGATAAGGAGATATGATACATTATGATGTGATATGATATGAATGATAATGGGACACATCGACGTCTGCACTCACAGTGCCACGGACTGTACTTAATGTTACTCTGATCCGGTTACTTATGTCGTGGCAGATATTTAAGTAAGCTTTCTTAACGCTAATGTTATAATAGTCAGATTGCTCTGAAGATGGGAGGGGATATTCTATTCATGTTCACGTTCACACAGTCAGTTGATTTTGGCCGGCCGTCTTTCCTGCAACGGCAGTTTTTCTGTATTTCCTCTATCCTGTAATATGACTTGATCGCTTTAAACTCCGCACACGGAGCTCTGATTGGTCAGCAGGCGGTGCTTTCACTGAGTTGATCTCTTAGCCTGCAACCTAACCTCCTCCCGAGGAGGTTAGCCGCTCAGCATAAGTTACCATGGAGATCTAGCCCGCTAAAAAGAGAACCAGCGTCGTAGGACCGGAAAGCCCGAGTTTTCCCTGAAGTCAGCCGCTAAGGGAAAATCCGGCTTCGTAGTACAGGCCTCTGCTCTATAGTGAGGTATACACACTCTATAGTGAGGTAAACAGAAGGGGAAGTCTCCTCACCTGAGGTTCTGAGTTTCTGGAACTTGGTCTTCTGGCTGTATCCTCTCCATCCGGCCTGCAGCTTGGTGGCTGAGAGGAGAAGGAGACACACGGTTTAAATCTGTGGCAAAACTCATACAAATATTCGTATTAATATTTCAAAACGTCCAGCAAAGATGCCTGAAATGCATTCAAACTCAAACAGATCACAGCTTCTGCTTATATTAGCAGGAAAACATTTGTATCAACATATATTTATCTGTAAAACAGTTGAAAACAACAGAGCACGCCATCTGATTATTTGTTTGTATTTATTCTAGCTTCAGGCTTTCTTCTCCTACATTAAAGGGGACCTATCATGCAAAATGCACTTTTGTACGTCTTTTCTACATGAATATGTGTCCCCGGTGTTCCAGGGAACTCACCAAGTGTCAGAAAACACAACCCTCTCTATTTTCCTCCATACCCAAATCTCTAAAAAAGGGGCTGCAACGGATCTGATAAAAACTGATCCAGATTTGAACACTGTCCTGACGTCAGGACGGTGGCGCTACGGCTATTGGGCCAACTCCACCAATCAGGAGGAGACAGACACGGCCATTGCCGTTAGAAAGCGCTGGAGACGCTGTAGTACATATGCCAGGCCTGTAGGTGGTGCTGTTCTCACTGAATCTGCCCTTGCTAAAACAGAGCTAAAAAATGTCAAATTGAGCAAAATGAGGCATGGCTAAAATGCATGATCTGTTTGGTATTTTGAAAAAAAAGTATAAATATGCCTTATATAGGTATGGCCCTACACTATATTATTCAAATATAGCATGATAGGTCCACTTTAATATAATAACCTGTTTATTATTATTTTTCTTCCTTCATGCTGTTAGATTGTTCTGTTTGCCGCCGCCTCGTATCAACACTTTTCATACCTCAAACTGCACTATTACATTACATTACATGTCACTTGTTAGACGCTTTTATCCAAAGCGACTTACATACTCAATACTGTGGACAATCACCACAGGAGCAATTTGGGGTGAAGTGTCTCAGGGACACAACGACATGCTGACTGCAGTGGGGTTTGAACCTGTGACCATCTGACCCCCAGACCAAGGCTCTATCCACTGCGCCACACGCCGCCACTATATGTGTGAATGATTTTCATGTTTCTTGTAAAGCACTAAAGGTTGCTCACATAAAAAAGTGAACTTGCCTTGTTTCTTATCTGTGTCCTTTTTTAATGTTTGTCAAATAAACAGCTTGTGCTGTTGGCTTTGTTGTCAGGATGTCTCCATTTCTACATGACGATGTAGGAGTTGATGAATACAGGAAATGAAAGGTAATAAATGTTTAGAGTCTCTCACCCAGACTGTGCTTCCTGGTCTCCAGAGCGTCTTCAGTCGCAAACAACGTCTTCGGGAAGCGGATGAAGATTTTGGATCTGAAAGTAAAATGACCATTTAAAACATTTTGAAAGTGCAGCTCAGGGACAAAAAGAAGCTCAGGGACAGAAAGAAGCTCAGGGACAGAAAGAAGCTCAGGGACAGAAAGAAGCTCAGGGACAGAAAGAAGCTCAGGGACAGAAAGAAGCTCAGGGACAGAAAGAAGCTCAGGGACAAAAAAGCTCAGGGACAAAAAGAAGCTCAGGGACAGAAAGAAGCTCAGGGACAGAAAGAAGCTCAGGGACAAAAAGAAGCTCAGGGACAGAAAGAAGCTCAGGGACAAAAAGAAGCTCAGGGACAAAAAGAAGCTCAGGGACAGAAAGAAGCTCAGGGACAAAAAGAAGCTCAGGGACAAAAAGAAGCTCAGGGACAAAAAGAAGCTCAGGGACAGAAAGAAGCTCAGGGACAGAAAGAAGCTCAGGGACAAAAGAAGCTCAGGGACAGAAAGAAGCTCAGGGACAAAAGAAGCTCAGGGACAAAAAGAAGCTCAGGGACAAAAAGAAGCTCAGGGACAAAAAGAAGCTCAGGGACAGAAAGAAGCTCAGGGACAGAAAGAAGCTCAGGGACAAAAAGAAGCTCAGGGACAGAAAGAAGCTCAGGGACAAAAAGAAGCTCAGGGACAGAAAGAAGCTCAGGGACAAAAAGAAGCTCAGGGATAATGATGCATACCATGAAACTAAATGCATGTTACATGATGCTTCTGACTGGTATGAAAGGTCTAAAACCACCAGACTCAAAGACAGTTTCATCCCACAGGCCATCAGACTGCTAAACACCTGAACTTTGAAAGAACATTCATCTGTTTGCAACTTACAAATTATCTATCTAATATATCATATCCCAATCACTTGTATATGGACTCTTCTTGCACTAATTCTATTTGTATTTACTTGCACTATTTATCTGTGTTATTGTGTTGCTCTGTTGGAGGAGCCTGTGACCTCATATTATAATTGATATAACTACACTTTAGCTATGTACCAATAAAAGCCTTGAATCCTTGAATGTATTACCTCCCCCATTTTGTACTCCTCAGGTTTGTATCCCAGATGTTTGACCAGCGTCGCCACGCCTTCAG